TGCTTTGAAATGTTTTATGATATAAATAGTTGTCACTTTAACAATACTCTACACAAAAATACTACCCAATGTTAAATGGTCCATAGAATTTTTACTACAGAATGTGAACATGCTTATAATTTCGGTAAAAATATGACTTTTAAAATGACCTCTGTATCAGGTCATACATGCACTGCATCGGAACCGTCCACAGATATAGTCATGTATTCTTAATCATATCATTAATATGTTCTTATTGCATGATAAATGTCCATGTATGTACAGTCTGGATAAACAAAAAAAGACTTTTTGACATACTTGATCGGTCACTCGTTGAAATTTTGCTGGTAATTCTCTTCTTATTTAGATAATTATGAATTAATTATGGACATGTGGGACAAACTGGTATTTTTCCAGTCTTTAGAACACCTATACTTTCTTCTCATATAAGTAAGCATTTTCACATTCGTAAATGAAAATAAAGGAACCCATCTTTAAATATAACACAAAAAAACAGGGTAAAAAAATACCTCAAGCAAAGTATTCTAGTTCAACACAGTACTTGTGCACTCAGAGATGATAATAAGTTTGACGACAACCTTTTCATGCTAACAAATAATAAAAAAACTGGTATTCAAGAAAATGCTTTGTCATGCAGGTCAGCCAATTATAAATCCTTACAATTTTAGATCTATTGTTAAAGGTTTATACAATATGCTATTTATCTTTAATATTTATGTATCTATTTGATCAAACTGAATTTGATTCAAAAAAGGATGTTTTAAAGGGACAGTTGCACCATTCTTTGTGACCATTCATTCTTTAGTCTCAGAAATGGGAATTTTTTAGCCAAGTCAATCACTAATATTGTTCACAGCTCACTGTTGAAATTTGAGCCTTCAAATCCACGTGTGTCCAGAATTATCCACGTTTGAATGTTAAAATGTTGACTCGTCAAGATAAGATGCTCTGTGATATATAGAAAAGACATATATAGCAATAGTGAATAAAATTGCTAGTTTGAAGTATTTTTAAAGGAATTATGCGATTTTTGTACATTTCTAGTACTTCTGAAGACTATTTATATATATTCAAGCCTCAAATCAACCCCTGAAAATGGCACACCTGTCTCTTTAAAACTGAAGTACAGTCAAGTAACCTAAATTTGTGGAAACCTATCATTCGTGGATTTCCGGAAAGGATTAATAATTTACATGAGCGACCTTGCGCGACCTCCGCATTAGCTTGTTTTGATAAACATGGGTTTTCTCTACAATATCAGCTAGTAGAATAAATCCAGTAGTTTCAAGCAAGGTAAAATGTATTAATGTATACTTTGACAAATACAAAATGGCGGATTTCACTTATTACCAAACGTCACCATTTTTTATCGGCCAAATTTCCTTATAATCCCAAGCAGTAATCGGAATTCCAAGTGTCGTCTGCTAGAATGTAGTCCAACAAATGAAGCCACATGATCAACTAGCGGATTCCATGTCAGCAGAAAATTGATATGAAACACAAAGTGGACCATATTCTTATGTTGTTTCAGTGACTTTTAGCAATAAATCACGCTACGTATCTTATTTTGTCAGTCACTATTTTTGTTTAAAATCGTGGTTCTTTGAAGGAATTGTCATTAATTATAATGAATTGATATTAAAGATAAATACTAAGAGGGGTTAATTATACCACCCGGTATCCATACAACGTGTTTTTCTCGACTTATTTATAGATCAAACATTGTACACGAAAATAGGTGACGCATTCTGCCGCCGTTGCCGAGTTGGTTGCTCATGAAATATGGGTCAAAGTGAAGGATTCATAAAGAAAATCGAAATAAACCAATTTTAATTATTTTGTAGAATATCTGAGGAAACATCTAAGACATAAAATTTTTTTTTCGTTTTTTTAACTTTGACGAAATTCGGTGTTGAATCCTTATATCCACGAAAATAGGTTACACCACTGTATCATAATTTCTAAGTAAGCAGTTCAAAAATGTTTTGGTGTTTGGTTATATAATGGCTCGATATTATATTAGTAGGAAAGATATTTCACCAAAACCAAACATTTCTAATATGTTTACGAATACTTTTAAAATAATTTTGGCGCTCTAATAATTGATGGCAAGAAAATGAATTTATTTCTGTGTCTAGTTAATTCGTTAATATGATGTATCTATGAAATATCAATTAAGTGAGATAATCACCGATTAGTTATAGTTTTTTTTTATTAGAATAAGGTTTTATAAGAGATACTCTCTTAAAGAAGCACTGCCCTAAGTCACAAGTAGGGACTGTGGATTTCAGCATTGGAATACATCAATTTGATTAATGTTGGGCAACTCCTTGTTATTTAATGTTTTAATGTGCTAAACTAAATGTCAGTAATAGTAAATGTCTAGTTTATCTCTGATAATTTACAATAACCATAATTAATCAATATCATAATTAGCTCGTTAACGAATTTCATTCTGAGGAAAATATATGCCAAAGTTAGGATAACCTCCATGAAGGTTGATAAACCTAGTCATTGTAACTCTGGGGAGTAGTTTTGAAGCTAACAATGGCGGCACCAGTAGGGGAACAGACTTTTTCGCCCCTCAGAATAATAGTTTTTACCCCAAAGAAATTTCAAAATTGCCCACAAAGTTGTGTCAGAATGCATCAATCATTCGGGTCAGACAAACTGAGTCCCCCTCTCTATTACTGAGAGTCTTAAATTAAATTTGGGTGGATGAAAATGCCAACCAATGAAAAAATTATTAAGTTAATATATTATTTTATGGAAGGGAATTTTTGGAGGTGTGGAAAATCTCTATAAAACATGGTGTAGTTTTTCTGGCCCTATTCCAGCTGACAACACTGTCAATAGTTAATGAGTCCAAAATCAGAAAAGGCAGGTAAGGCAGACATAAAATTCCATTTCATTTTATTCAATTCCATTAGCCCCACCTTGTGAATTTCTGCAACATCATACCACATAAATCTATTTTTAGTAACTGGTTGGAAATGCCTCATACTGTTCTTACATAAGAGCGAGAAATGTACCATTTTCTACATGAACCGGCATTCTTTAGGTGACCGGTGGAATCCAATTTTCATAATTGAGAGAAATTCAAGACTCATCTAAATTACTTCGGACAAATTTAGTGATCGCACAAACATTACTAAAATAACTGAAGTAAAATACTAAGGTTAAGAACAACAATGAGAAAATCTCTTGGCATCTGAAATTATCAACATACGCCGGTTCAAAATAAACATAAATTTTCATTCATCAACATCAGTAGTAGAATGATAGCACGCTTTGAAAACGTGAAATCGTTTGGAACGATATTCTCAGAAGAAAGATATACTTACCAATTTAAAATCGCCTCGAATTCATATGTGACGATCTTTGACAGTCAGTTTCCCTAACCAAACTGTCAGCTTTCATTTTTTAATGAATTATTGGCTTAGGTACCCGCATTCAACCACGACGAGTGATTGATAGAGACTCGAATGACCAGTCTCGTCATTGAATTTGTAAAGAAAGAAATGGACTGGTATAATCGAGATAAATCAATAAAGTTGGATACCCACGTCTGACGCAACTTTCTGTTTTAAAAAACGTGGCCCCTTGGTCAATAAAGCTACAGGGTAACGACCGAAATGATGAAATATTAGACATCTTCCTTAAACAATAAAAATATCATCTTTAAATGAGATTTAGAAGTAGATAGAACATTAGATAAATAAGAACAATATTATAGATATACTGCTCCTTTCTTTAATTTTATCAACGTTTCAATTCAAGCTTTAACTGTATATATACTTGTTGTTCTATTTTTTTATCATTATTACTTTGTGCTTGATAAAGATTCCTGTATGTGAATTGAAACGTTGCAGAAATTAAATATAGGAGTAGTCCTAAATCCATCGTAGTTTTCCTATTTATTTATAATAATATAAGAATATAATTAAATCATTTTTTGTTCAAAGTATGCTGTATTATAATTGATACACAATTAGCCTATAGAAGAATATGCCATATATTATAACCTTTCAGAATTCTATGTTAGTAGAATATATAATTAACTAGGTAGTTGTGAAAAGAATGACCTGTGCCCCCCCTTGAAAATTTTACGACTGCCTCACCCGGTGTTTCCTAGAAACGTCACTTATTTATAGGTGATTCCACTGGAATAATGAGTAAAAGATGACTTATTCAAGGTCACCAGACTTTCTCTGATCTTCTAATCATGATTGAAATCCAAAACCACAATCTATTTGATGTAACCAAGCAAAATGATGTCATGTGAAGTTTTTACACACAAATGGACAAAGCTACAGCCTTGTCTTAAGACAATAGGTCTGTTGTTCTATATGGGAGCCTGGGGGTGTCTTCAACTGGAATAATATGGGTAGATTTGTTCAAGGTCACCAGATTTTCTAATCATGATTGGAACCCACAGCCACAATCTGTTTGATATAACCAAGCAAATGATGTCATGTGAAGATTTTAACGCACTACTGGACTAGGCTTCAGCCTGGTTTTAAATAATAGGTCTCTGGTGTTGGTAAACTGGAATAATGTGGAAAGATCACTTGTTCAAGATCACCAGACTATCACAAGCTATTTGAGATTGGAACCCACAGCCACTATCTGCTCATATTAACTTAGCAAATGATGTCATGTGATGATCACTGTGCTACATCCTGTCCTTAAAAAATAAGAGCCCCGTCTTCAGGAATGAATTGGAGCTGGGTCTCACATTTCTTGCTTAGGTGCTGCGGGCAGTGCTTGTTGATGCAAAGCGACACAGGTTCTATGAAATTTGCAGAGAACTCATTTCATATGTTCCATATTTTTGGGTTTTGGAGACACTGCAAATTAATCTGTCTTGGTTGAACTGAAGAAGGGTTGCTGAGGCTTAATTCTCACTTGCTGGGGCCCCACCCTAATGATGGGTCTAAGTCTGCAGTTTTAAAACATATCAAACATAAAGGGAGCCTGGGGTGTTTCAAAAAAACATGAATGACATAATATTTTTATAAAATACTTTTTACAATTGTATTTATATTAGTATTTGAATGAAGATGAAATTTTTTTTTGTCAATTTCAAGGGTATTTCCGTTATTTTCAAATTCCAGAATACTTCTTTGAATATCTAAAAAAAATTTAAACAAAAGCACTATTACTGATAATTTGAAACTTTCAGATTAAATTTGAAATGATGAAGAAAAAAATGAATCAAAAACTCAAAAAGAAAATAAACAGTTAAATAAAACAATCATCACATCAATTTGATATTTCTATTATCACCCAAAACCTCCAAATTAATAACAAAAAAACATCAACTCTTAACAAAAGAAATAAGGATCTGTTTGAAATTTGTCTTTTATTTTCATCTTACTGCATTTATTTCCAATATCAGTTAACAGCGCCAAAATCCACAAATGTAAAAAATTTCTTGCAGTCAAAATTGATCAACAACTGTGAATTGATGCTAAAAATAAGGCCTATGTCAATTTTGACACCAAAATACAAATCATGAAACAATAAGCGACAGAGAGTACAGACCCCTTATTTATAGTTTACACATCTGAAAGAACTCTTCACAGATTCCTGTATCCCTTTTCTAGGCTGAAATCAAATACTTGTTAATCAGTATTGGTTGTTAAATAGATTGACACCTTGTAATTTCAAATATATTAAATTAGGACTAATTACGAGACTGGTCCAATCAAGTGTGAAATTAGTAACGATTCAAAATTTTGAGTCATAAATTTGGGTAATATAGCACATCCAATCAGACGTCTTGTAACAATCCTTACTGACCAATAGAAGAGTTTGTAACAATCACAATAATAATACATGTATTCATACACCCAATGAGAAGAGAGTTTATGTAGTCTTTGCACGAATAGCTGCACGTTTCCCTGTCACGGCAACGAAACCTGATTTGATGCTGGCGACGGAACATCGAGAGCCACACGTTTCACACTGTAAGAAGTATAACCTCGTATCTTTCTGAAGTAACGTATCGGGAGACCGACAGGTATGACACGTAACATACTCTTCTGCAATGAAAAATTTTTTTATTAATGTAAATAAAGAATAAGAAAGGGTAAGTTTTCTTTCAAAAATCTTCACAATATAAAGTAGGAACTTTGTCTTATACCCAAGTCGCAATAGACACCTTTCGAGCATCACATAATGCAGCGAATACAGCAAATACAGAGACTGTTAATATTATTGCTTCTTGTTTACAGACTTTCTGTCGAGGACTCGTATTTAATACCTACATGCAATGCAAATATTTTGCATAAGCCTACTCATCTCTAAAGTGGACAGCCAGTAGAACACAAGGCCTCAGTCAGTATTATTCAAGAAAGGTACAATATACTTACTGATATATCTCCTTAAAACATTTTCAATCTGTTTCTGGTTGTATTTTCCTCTTATAATCAACTGATTATTTCCATCTACAGATCCACTGAAATTAACATGAAAATAGTTCACAAGAGCTCAAATTCTTCACACAGACGACACTTCAATTATCATGTATTCTTATCATATTATTTTGTTATTGCATATAATTAAAGATGGGTTTTCTTATTTTTTTAGTGTCAAAGTAAGCAAGCTATTTGACAAATTGGAGTTCTTAATGGATTATCATGTATTCTTAATCATATCATTTTGTTCTTATTGCATATAATGAAGAGTTTTTACCAATCATAAAAGTCTGGATAAACAAAAAAAAAAGACTTTTTGATCTTTTTTGATCGGCCACTCATTAGAATTCTGCTGGACATGTGAGAATAACTGGTATTTTTCATTAGAACACATCTACTTTCTATTCATAAAAGTATTAGCATTATCATTTTCATAATGAAAATAAGGGAACCCATCTTTAAGAATACATAAATTGGCCAGCTTATTCACCAAATGTTACTCTCCTTCACCATCTTAATATACCAGATAATGACAGGAACAGCGCTCTCAATGAAACATATCGCTTTTGAGTGCTGCCAACCATGAGACACAAATACTAACGAAATCTTACCTTGTACCCAATTCTGCTAGTAAAAATGCTAAAACATGTTTTGGTTGTCTATGTAATCTGTAGATAGAAAATAAATATATTGAATGCCGTCTGGTTTCTACTAGTTCTGGCTGATACCCTCAAATAATATGCATTTAATGATAAATTTAAGTTATGTATACTTCAGTTCGCAAAAGAGTCAACACTTCAAAATCTTAAAATGCTAAGAAATGAAGATGTAGATGAAACCTACAGTATGTGCACACATTTTGACATAATCTCGTCTCCCAGTAACAAAAATAAAAGAAATAGAAAATATTCTCTGAGTCAAAGGCCCCCATGTGGGGTACAGCAGAATTTGTTTCCTACATAGAAATCTTTTCATCCCTCAAACCAAATTTTTCGTGGTTTTATTCGAAAATAAAAATTTACCACTGGACATAAAAATAGAGAAATTCCTCTAAAAAGGAGAAATCTGGGAAGCCTGAACACTTTTACTTTTTTTTTGCACCACCAGTATTTATAAAAGTAATATACTCTATACTTACAATCTACAAATATCTGTAAAATTAGCGAAAGAAGATTTTCGTGTACCAACTCGTAAAACTTGTGGTGGTCTCATGACAAATTTCTTTTTTTCTCCTGATATCATCTCTGGATTCTTTTCTCTCATGATGTCAAACACTCTCTGTAGTAACTGTAAGATATTACATAGTCTTGGATTGTGGCATAGTGAAACCCAGTTAAGCTGTTTTAGTGCTCAATCTAAAGGGAATGTAAAGAGGTTCTTATTTTTTTTAATGTGTATTGGGGACATTAATAGCCTCCATTTGCACCATTCCAATGTTCGCGAAGGGCCTTATGAGATAAAACCATACATACACATAAAAAATGTAGAAAACTCCTCCAAAACCCTTTGAAGGTTTAGATGCCAAGGTGAAGAAGGGTAAAAATATTTGATACCACAGCCAGACCAGTACGTTATATCACCCCTCCTAATACCTACCTCATCATAGGTATAATCTCGATCTGTTCCACTCCATGATTTACTTTCTCCATCTTCTTCTGACTTCTTTTTATTCAACTCATCTTCTACAATTATATACATCACTTAAACGTAGCAGACAAAATTGTTGTTTTATCCAAAAGTTTCTTTACTGTTTAATAAACTCGAAGGAAAACTTCCTCTTAGAAAGAACATCTAAATATAGAATCTTAAACTTGGCCAATAAGAGTAAATATTCACCAATAGACCTATTCCCCTTAAAGGAAGTAAGTTTCTAAAAATTCCATACTGTCTGTTAAAGTAATACTACCTTGTAGAATGAATATAAAATCAAAATTCTCAAACTAGGTCAATAAGAGAATATATATAGTAATTAATGAATGCTTAACAATTTATCAGCAATTTTCACTATTTACTAGTAGTTTTATGGATTCGTTGGACTTTACATGGATTCTGTTTTATAGTTATGACGAAAGGTATTCTAAGAGGAAGTATTCCTATATCCTATTACAGATAAAATGGCCATTTACTAGCCTACTTCCTTAAACTGATAAGAGTGGCAGTTTTGTGTAAATCATTCTATTGTAGCTATTTCATCATGATCACTCCCATTCTATTATTTCAAATACACTTTAACTAAATTTTGACAGCCCAAAGTTCTTCATGACTTTTATTCTCAAAAACTGTCTTTAGTGACAGTTGAATAGTTCTGTTGGTTGCCAGACAATTAGGTGCAATGGGTTAGAATACTCAAGGTGCTTGCTGTCAGCTTTTAACCTCTTATTATCTAATCAAATATAGGCTTGCTAGGATTATGATGCTCTTTACTTTGCATACTAGTGCTGAGAATCACCACTCATGCCACGTATCGTCAATCATGCCACGTATCGTCAATCATGCCACGTATCGTCAATAATGCCACGACACGATACATATCGCAATATGGGGAAATGGGATAAAAATTAATATTTTATATTCAAAGTTTCTATATATATTAATGTATAACTTTATAACTGTGATATTTGGTAACATAGTTGATAGAAGTGGTTAGCGTCCAGTGTCTTATATAAAGTTTCTAACAATTTCAGTGAAAAAAATTGTTATATCATAAAACAACTTATTAAAATCCCCACTTTTTGGTTGTCAAGTATGGATACAAGACCTTCAATAGGATACACGTATTGTGCCATGTCATATCGCAATACATTGATTCACCGGTATATCATGCCAGAACTAAAGCTTACTAACTTTATTAGTAACAATTAAAAAAATTGAAATCAAAATATAATACCTTCATCATCAAAAACAACTTTTTTTCCTGATTTTTTCTTTTTCTTTTTAGAATCCAAATCTAATGAAAAGTCATCGAAATCATCCACTACATCTGGTTGTGAGCTGCTAGTGGTTTCTGTTTCCTGCAGTAAAATTAAATCCAAAGATTTGTCTAAATTGGTAAAAGATTTGAACTGTAGTCTTAATAACTCATTAATACACAAATTATTAACTCTATTATTGTACCATTTCAAGGGGTAAAAGTTGAAATGTAGCGAATTGTCATGGTGTGCAATCATGTACAATGTTTAGAATTCAAGAAAAATTTCAAAGAATTCAAAAATCTTAAATTTCAGGCAAGGTAAGTAAAGTTATGTAAAACCATTACTGCCTGTACTTGGCTAGTAATACATTGAAGATTAAGAAATCAGGTATAATTCATGTTTAAATTCGAGAGTTAAACTTTTGTTGTTGAGCATCGCTTAGCAGAATTACTTATCTCAATATCATAAATCAAAACATTACTGAACCTAAGCACACGTGACATGATAATAAGTAAGACTTGTCTAACTCAGTAGGGATGCAGGCTGAAAATCGGTCAGTTGGCGGAAGATTGCAATTCTGAGTAACAATATGCTTCAAGTTCTGTTTTAAAATTTCTAAATTAAAACATAAACTTACGGCTGATGGTTCAGTATTTTCATCTGTTGGCTTCTTCTTTTTCTTCTTCTTTTTTAATCCTCCAAATTCCAGTGAGAAATCTAAAATTAGGAATCTAAATAGTTATATACTGCTATGGTACTGTATAACCTTTGTAAAACATATTTATGAGGATATGTTTATTGCTATGTTTTTTGTTGTTAATCATTTTATTTATACAGTTAGCTGTACCTGTATTTGCTTTGATTTAATAAACTCAGAAGTAGTACATCTATGTATCTTAGTTTTAATGGTACTGGACAGTGTAAATAGTGATAATAAATCCCTAATTGAACTGTAATATTGGTCTACATAGAATCTCTATCCAGCAATGTTTTATTGTTATCAAGAAACAGATCTTACAAGACAAGCTTTGATTGGTTAACAATGACATAATTGGATCAGGACTGCAGTGGAAAACTTGTTAGATTTGGAAAAATATCACTTTCTGTAGCCTAAGGTTCATGTTAAAATATCTAAGATGATTCCTCAGTTGGATGAATGTTTTAGCAACAAAAGAATTAAAAAACACACCATCATCTATCTTGTCTGGTTGTTCTTCTTGTGGTGTGGAGGACTCGGCCTGTGCTGAAGGGGCGCCATCTGTCGCGGGTTCTGCATCAACAACATCCCCACCCATAACTGAATCTGGATCGAAGGGAGTCTTCTTTTTTTTCTTCTTCTTCTTCATACTGGAGTCAAAGGGCTTCTGAAATAACAAAATTTGACAAAAGTTGCATCAAACTTGCCACCAAGAGCTGTTCACCTTTTTGCACTGAACAATTCAATCCCCGAAAATTTGTCACTTCCACTTCAAAAATATGTGACCAATTGATGCCCAAACTTAATCAGATTTTAGAAAAATTTTAACAGACATCGATAACAGGCATTGAAACCTAAATAATACACTCAGGAAATTGCCAACATCAATTGAAAATTTGTCTTTTTTTGAAAAATAAGGCACGTGCCACTTTTTGTTATGGGGGCGGCCATCTTTGATTTGGCTAATTTTTCGTAGAAAATTCAGATCCACTCACCATTTCATCCTCGTCCATGATTGAAAATTTGTTTTTTCACTTGGCAAATAAATACAGAAACTCTGAGGTGATTTTCTATTATAGATTGGAAATACTGGCGACAATATTCTAGGAAATCCGATAAAAACTCGGTGATTCCGCTTGCATCAGATTTTTAACTAAACGAGACTCACAATAGAAGAGTTGATCTAACAAGGGTATGTAACTCGCCACAATCTACAATGAGATCAGCCTACAGATAAATTTTATTATTGCACCAGAAATGACTATTTGGGCTCTTCTCCATACAGGGCTGGGCGATCACGGTATCAATTAATATACCACAGTATCAACAATGTCACCTATAAATTTTCCACGTGTGTAGCCAGGTGACCAATTTAATCACAACTGCATGAAAAATAAACCACCAGTTTCAAATTTGTTCAAATTGTTTAGATGATTTTATCTGAACAATATCATGATAATAACCGTCTATCACGATACAGCCTAGCAATATATTTCGGTATTTTTTAATGAGATTTCAGGCTTCTAAAGATATAAACGGTCTTAATATACCGTGATACCAGAGCTCTGTGACCTAGGCCAGTGCTTTCATTGAGACTCGTCTCAATGCACCCTAACTACACCCTATTACCGAAATATATTGCCCATCCCTTATTCGAACCCACGGCACCTAAGTGCCAAGCAGGCGAAGTCAAATGTTAAACTTACTGTTTTGTTTTCTGTAATCTTCATCATACGAGTGGAGTAGGCCTATCGTAGTTTTCTAGATTAAAGAAACCTTAACAAAATACAAAAATCGAATTTCAATCAGTTTTGTTTGATAATGAACAGATAAAATTACAACAATTTAGGTTATATAAACTTTCAAACGAATCTGCGATTTCGTCATAAAATATAAATGCGTCCTATCCTGTCTTAATTTATATAAAAATGGTTGACAACACCAATCCAATAGACCTTTAAAGCAAAGATTTCTGATGCAATGTACCCATGATAACGGAAATTAATTTTTACTTTCATTTCTATATAACAAACATTGTAGAACATACAGGGTCAAAGCTTGTTATTAATGCTGTTTTTTTTTTCTCTGGGAAGTGGGAAGTTTCCTACCAGTTGTAATTACCACTTGATTCTATTCGGGACACATTTGAAAAATCATTACAAACGCAACGCTCCAGTGAGAAATATAATTTATTTCCCTAATAATAACGCATAAAAGTCTTTAAACGATAAGATTTTTTTTATGAAACGGGGATCCAATCTAATTCATTGTTAAACTTTTCCGAATCAGGAAAAACCAGGCAAATAATATTTGAAAATAATGCAGTCTACCAGATAAAGTAGATTATTATGTCTGTTCACATCTATTTTCTAAGGATAATGATCGGCTTAGGCCTACAGTTTCATTTACTATTTACCACGTTTAGCACATGGTTTAATTAAATTGCTTTTGGCTAAATATAACGTCCGTGGTAAATATCTACTGCCTACATCATCAGAATTTTCCACTGTTGCCTTGCCTCTGTATAGTCGCAACAGTACGTAAGGCCCATAGATGTATCCTATTGCGATTTCATTTTCATTTAACAAGTTAGGCCTGTTAAGAGAATTTGGTAGGCTACTGTCGGTGCATTGGAATATCAGTTTCAAAATAGAACAGTTATTAGTCGTATAGAGAATGACTAAATTTTGCGTTCATAAAAATGTATATGATAAGCACACCATTACAGTGGCACAACAGACCTTTAAACATTTGATTTTACAGAAGAAAATTTTGACACAAAATTTTCGGTTGAAATTTTTTGAAAGTAAGAGAGAATCGTACGTGTTTCTTTTCAATGTTAGATTACAAATATTTTTATCTTTAAAGATTAAAGAAATATTTTTAATCTTAATAACGAAAGATAGATAGCCAGTTCAGGTAATATACACCCACTTTCAGCTTTGATATTAAAGCAGAATGTAGCCTACGTCTAGCAGCTAGTACAGTAACAATTTTCTCTCAGTAGCCTAGTCTGCCTCGAAATATTCAGTCAGACAACTTCTTTCAAACATTTTTGGGTGATAATGAACATTAGATTTTTCTCAAAATCCGTAAAGAATTGTGCTAACAGAAGGCTTACAAGCTAAAAATTTAACAGGCATTAAAGAACAGGGCAATAAGTCACAATAGATTTTTCGGTTTTTCACTAAATAATGTAGGCCTTAGCCTTAAATAGGCCTAGACTGTCAAAAATATCTTCGACTTCGTGACATTCAATCAAAGGTGACAGACGACATAAACTGAATCAAATCAAAATCAAATAGTTCTAATTAAAATCTAATAAAGACCGCGATAATCCAACAGGCCTAGTGACTGACAGATACAACCAAATCGTTATAATCTAACTTGCCACGCCTACTTCACTTACCTGTGTTGATATTGACAACAATGGCTTCTAAACTTAGCAACCGGAATCATATTTAATACGCGTGCGCAGCGCACCTGTCAGTCATTACTGAGAAATAACATGGAGGACCAAAGAATGAGAAAAGACGATCAAGAAATCAACCAAAATGGGGCTGATCCAAAAAATGTACAAGATTTGACCGCATTTGTAAGTATCTTAATTTTCCTTCTATCGAATTCGGACAAGATTTCAAATATAGTCGACGGCGTAATTTAGATTTTGAAAACGAAAAAGCTGGAATTTAAATCGTTACATCTTGTTTTGATATATAGAGCTTTATGGACAACCGTAACCGACATAATGTACAATAGCTTCACTGTTTTGTATCAGAGTAATATTGATTTTGTTATGTTTTGCTGTTAGTTTATCATAAAATTGATTTCCTATCATCTTCATCTTTCTATTCATGTAGGAACTTGTATTCCAATATCTAACATTTATTGTATGATAAATTACAGAACCCAATAGAACTAGCTAGAGCAAGAACATTATTGTTGGAATTGAACTTTGAAGGGATTGTTTCAAATTTGAGTTAAGACTAAGAGTGCATTCTAAATTCTTTGACATTTGGGTTTATTTTGACTTTGTATAGATGTTAATTTGAGATTTAACTAGGGCCTATTTAAAGTACAAACGCGAGCTTTGATAAATAGCTTAAAATCATTGAGGCTACCATCTTTTATGAGAAGGTGTTTCTTACAAATATTGATCCTCTCTGATTCAGTGATTTTCCAACATAGATTACTACTCTATAGTTATAGTAGCCTACAGATTTAAGATCACATTTTCATTAACTTAGGTTACTATATCCAATACATTGTAATAAATAGGATAAGATCTAGACTGGTCAATACATTGTAATAAATAGGATTAGATCTAGACTAGTTATTGACTATGATTATTTGTTTTTAGTTGATAATGATAGGTTATATTGTCACTTGTAACCGTGAATACCTCTATAGCTTTAGGGCTATAAATCTCAATTTCAGAGCATATATAATAATCTTATTTGCTATATTGATTGGATTGAGTACAACTTTTTATCAATGTTTTTTCTTAGCAAAGATATTTTGCATATATATAGGTGAAGAATTAATGTGCAGTAATGTCTGAACATAGTTTTTCATAGCTTTACTTAGGATGCCATTTCAGGATCTTGTTAACAATCGTAGAATTTGTGACAACTTAATGGCAATCCTTCTAAAGAACAACTTTGCTATATTAACCAGTGGGGTAAAACTCTGTATGATCTTGTATCACAATGTATGAAATAGATTTCATAAAATATTGTACACTGTTGTTTAAGTGACATGATATAAAATAAACTAATTAAAATTTGAAATTTCAGGTGCAGACTTTATTACAACAAATGCAGGATAAATTTCAACAGATGTCTGATCAAATTATTACTAGAAATATCCTTTTATAATCATTTATTGTCGTTCATTACAAACCTCATCTTCACAATGTCAAGCTATTACAGTCAAGGCATAAGACCATCACAATGTCAAGCTATTACAGTCAAGGCATAAGACCATCACAATTGCAAGCTATTACAGTCAAGGCACAAGAAGAGCACAATGTCAAGCTATTACAGTCAAGGTATAAGACAAAGTTCATTATAGTTTCACATTGTGAAGATTTAAATACCTAGGGCTAGGAATGCATGGTTTATCAATGTAATGCTCTCAGAATGTTCAACCAAGTATCCCCCATGCCATTGGTGGAGGTGATGCCACTGTCATTGAACTTTTGTATATTGCACTGAATTACTTATTTTCTTATTTAAACAGAACAGTAATTCTTAAAATGATAGTGCTGCTGTGACAAGTACATGCCATGGTGGTCTAATATTTTGATTTTGGATCAAATGTTTTTGTTATATATGTCATATTCCTTAACCAATCCTTACTAGATGATATGGGAGGACGAATTGATGACCTTGAAAGGAACATTGCAGATTTAATGACACAAGCTGGAGTTGATGAAAGACCTTAGAGGATGGAGGTGAAGAGAATAGCGCTGTGGGAATGAATGGAACGGCCTCTAGTTTTAACCAAACCTGTGATCACACATTAACATTTCATTCCATCCTAATTCATTTCCACTAAATTGGTCTCAGTTGTTGACAGATACAAAAATTTATCAAAACAAAATTTCCATTTTTTTACTGCTGAGAATTCATTAATCAAGGAACGAGTCTGAAGAATCAAAATTAACTTTTAACTTTACCCATTACAATACAAGGATACAATACAATGTTTCATAGATTCTGATCTTCATTCAACCCATTTTCCCTCTGTTGTTTATCTGTATATCATATCTGTCCTGTATCATATTTATACACATTCAGACCCCTGTTTCTCAAATAACCTTATGATAGCAATTTGTCATAAATGTGTAATCTTACATAGAGAAACACAATACTTATGACAGAAATTGATTGTAAGATTTTTTAAGAAACTGGGTCCTGGCTTTTACAAATTTAATGCAGTCCAAAGAACTGAAAGGAATAACGAATGAAATTACTGTTTTTGAACACAAGTACTGAGTTTGTTTCCTTTCAACCTTGACTAAGACAGCAATAAGATCTTTTGCTTTTTGAATGAACAAAAATATTTTACTTGCTTCCCTGAATGTGTATAAATGTTATGAAAAAATGCCTATTTAAATTTAAACTGTTTTGTAAATATATTGGGGCATATTTTTTGATTAAAGTAACTGAAAGAATTTGTAACATGTGATTCGTTGTTAGAAAAAATCTGATAATATTGACCAATCAGCAATCTTAAATTGTATACCGCCTACTGGAAGTTAAGATAATCACAAGTGATATTGTGTACATCAGCCCCTGTTGTGTTACCCATATTAAGTTTGTATTGTGTATTTATGTAAATTATACGTCGGGAGACAGGGCAGTTATAAATGATATATGCAAATTTGTTAAATCGTTATTTTGACAATTAATAATATTCATATTTATTTTTGGGTGCAGAGTAATATTTTAAATTTCATTGAAATATATTTTATAATATCATGAATTCATTTAATTGTTTGATTAGTGAATGGTTTCAATCAAATTAGTTGTCACAAATTATAATCATGTATATTTCACTTTGAGCTTCAACTCTCCCTTTAAGCATCCTATTTATATTTTCAAATCCATGGATACGATTGGCTCATTTCACTTGAGCTTGGTTTCATTTTAAGCGTTATGTTGAAATTGTCAAATCTGTGGGTATGTTTAGCTAAGCTTATTCATGAACAAATCAACTTCATGTATGTTTTTGATACTGAGAGATAGAATTTTAATGATATGAACCTGTCTGGGTTATGAAAATCCAAAATATTCGAGATTAAAAGTAGGAATTGTAGAATTAAAAGGGCAGTATAAATATATAAATAGATATTATAAATTATGTAAGAATTTTAGGGTTTAAAATGGTGTGAATTTTTGCTTCTATTATAAACATTGTACTTATTTATTAAATATTTTACAATCTATTCTTACTGTTTTTTGAAATTAGGTTGGGAATTGTCAAGCAGATATATTAGCACATTACAGATCCAATCTTATCAGTGCACTTTATTTTTGGGTAGAATAAATAGAAATGGAAACCAAACAAGTCTGACTTATTCTGTCCATTACCACTTATGTCACTTAATAATAAAGTGTACTAATCATGTTGATGTTCATGCTTTGAATCTGTCGGGTATGCAAAAATGTTTGTTGGACAAAAGTGTTAAATTTACTGGGGTTAAATATATCCACCAATATTACAAGACAAGAAAGGCTGATCTAACTTAATAATGCTTTCCTTTGATTGTATGAATGTGGAACAAGTTTTTAAACGTCCCCATTATAATGTGGTCATATATTACCAACAGTCTGTCCACAATTTACTTGTGAACACAATAGAGCCTACAGTTGATAAGGTCTTGGTCAAGGTCAATTAGACGATTTTTCGATGATCGGTTTTTGAGTTATTGCCCTAGACTTAGTAAAAACGTGTCAAAATTTATTTGTGTACACCATAAAGACTACAATTATCATCTTATTTTAATGTTACACTTAAATTATAATGAATGCAGTTAGTGAACAGTATATAATAGAATTATTATTAAAATATTCAGCATGTCCATCCCATTTCAATCTGTAGTAAACATTCATAAGCAGTCTTCCGCCAAGTTGAATTACAGCCAGGGACACTGATGCCATTCCACCAAGTGTTTGATGATGTCACTTTATGTGATAAAGCATAATATTAAGCAATTAGTGACATCATCAAACAGTTTTAGTGGAATTGCATATACGAAAAATTCAGAAAATCTCTTTACAATCCCTACCACAGGCAGAAAACTAGACTGGGTGTAAAACTCTATTTCATAGCATCAATTTATTCTTGTATTTAAATAAAGTCTAATAAGAAGGCACTTGATTCAGTCTATACATTACATTATCTCATTTCTTCTTTTGTTGTGGTAAATCACGTAATCTAAAAAAGAAATAGTAAATAATAACTTAAATGGGTTGTAAAGAAATTTCCCAATATTTCCTTGGGTATCAAGACCATTTTATGGTTAATTATATCATTCCAATTTTAAATCAGATGTCTGTGGCTCCTGTAATTATAGAAATACTTGACCATGTATGACCTCACTATCCCAAAAGCTGCTAATAATACCCTTTACAATTGCTATGTCATAAGATACTCAATTTCCTGTGTACCAGGTGATCTTAAACTGTTAAAGGGACACAGGAGCTAAAGACATCTGATTGAAGATTGAAATGATCCGTATGATGATATCAATTTTATTGATACACAAAAAATATTAATATAATTGTCAAAAATACAACTGAATTTCAAGTAACAACTTTTAGAAATAAAACATGTGGTTGTTTAACAAGATACGCCCACTTCTATGATAAATAAAAATCAAAGGCGGTCGCCAATCTGTGTCAAATCGTACCAAAAAGCTTATTTGTACAAGATGGACGGACGACGGACAGGGGCGACTACAATATACGACCACATTATGATGTAGGCGTATCAAAAGAGTAACTAGAATGTACCTTGATAAAATCTGCTCATCAAGTTTTTTATCGTCTAAATGGACGTCAGTATCTTCGCTACTTTCATTACTGTCATCACTCTTCTCTCTATCATTCTTCTCTCTATCATTCTTCTCTCTATCATTCTTCTCTCTATCATTCTTCTTCTTCTTCTTCTTCGATTTCTTATCTTTATGTTTTTTATGTTTAGACTGAAATGAATGGAAATATTTTTACTATACACCCACATGAAATGCACATGTAATATTATCATCCATTGATGATTATCACTGGAGGCCAAAACAAAATATTCAGATAATTATTTTGATAATATTTGAATAAAAACAGTTGTTTAAATGTTTGCTTATAACAGTTGGTACAACTCATTTTTAACTCTCAATAGCACATTTCAGACATCATGTTCTCCTGTATAACTTGGGTTATAGTTAAGTTATTTAAAACATATTCAACTTGGAATGATAGAAACTTTCAGCAATAGAAGACAAGAAACAGTCAGATATTCTTTGTTCTCAAAATAAAACCCACCTTCTTGTCCTTCGATCTATGTTTGTGTTTATCTGTATATTTATCTTTTGATTGTTTTTTATTTTTCTCTGATTTTTCATATTTTTCCTTCCGTTTACTTTTTTTCTTGTGTTTAGGTTTAAAACTGTCTTTATGTTCCTTCAATGCTTTCTTCATGTCTTCCTTTGATCCTGCAAAAATCATCACAAACAAAATTAAAGGTATACTACCTCTTAGGATGACAAAAATTAAAAGAAATTTTTAAACTTGGCCAAAATGAGTCTTTGTTCATCAGTGGACTATGCGACAGAATCCCTTCTTTAATCCAATAAATCAATAAAGCTAAATTATAATTCATCAAACTAAGCAATTTTAATGGATATATCGTGTTACAAAGGGATTCTATTCTTAAGTTTTGGAACCTGGTATGTCCAACTGATGAATATATACTCTTGTTGACCAAGTTTGAGAATTTTATGTCCATTTTAAGAGGTAGCATTTCTTTAATGGAAGAGGAAATTGCCATGCAGTGTCCAACTAGGGAAACTCTCTAATTTTCTCTGTCAATACAGACTAATAAAGTGTTCTCTTAACTGTTAGTAATAAATATACCAAGTACTAACAATCAGAACCACAAACGAAACCCGAAATCAAAACATCACTGGCAAAACATTGGTAGCAGCTGCTAATGAACTTTTCACATGAGGAAGTATATCAATTATAAGTTAATAGGTATTTCATAATGAAAAGTGGTATTCTATAATTTCAGTCTTTCAATATTTCATATTGGGATAATTTCTCTTCTTTGCTCAAGATAAAATGTAAAACTGCTCACCTAAAGGACTGGGTTGTGGCGGAACTGGACCATAATATTCTACTTCCTCTTCGCTATCAGTTGACCTTGACGACGACCTTGACTTATGTCTTGAACTTGACCTTGACTTATGTCTAGAACTTGACCTTGACCTATTTCTGGAATCTGATCTTGAATGATGTTTTGACCGTGATGAAGATTTTGAAGTTGACGGTTTGGAAAACTTGAATTTATTTCTTTCTTCGCTGTCTTTGCTGGAAGGCTTTGAAAATTCCAATTTCTGTGTCTCTTTGTTGTCGTTGCTACGAGGCTCGGAATTTTTAATGCCTGAATCACACAATGATTTGTTGTCCTTCACATTGTCACTGGGCAACGATTTTGATATGTGGTTGTCAACTTCCATATTTGAATCTGTCTTGTCGTCAACAGCGACAAAGGGAGACAACCTCTCCTCCACTGACTGAATTATTGTTCCATCACCTGGTAACCTGTAACTTGGAGCTTTTATATTTTTTGGTAGTGTTTCACTAGATGTTTTCGTTGACACTGTTTCTCCTTGCTCATCTTTAAACAACAAAAAATAAAATCATGACAAAATTATGTGTTATATTTGGAATCTTTTAAGACTTTGAAGTGCCTAAAACAATCTGAACAAAATATAGAGCTTGTGGTGAATCTCAGAATTTTGAACATTTAAGCTGCACTACAAGTCATGTCTGGAAAATAGAGCCAAATAAACAGCCCTGCTCGACTCAAATAATGAAAAGATAGCGAAGTCATATGGATGAATAGTCTAAGTGTCGAGGTGATAAAGGCGTCAAGGTGGCTATTTCACTGCAGTGACAAGAAGTTACCTTTTTGTCTGTTTGCGTTATAAGTTATATCTTGATTCAATTTGGCCAATGTCTGAATAAAGTCTATTATCACTAAAAATATGTTAAACATACCTTCTTCTGAACTGGAGCTACTGCTGATTTCAGAATCAGAATTTTTAAACACAGCTCGAAATAAATCAAATGGTTTCTCTTCTTTCTTTTCTGTCACCTAAACAGCAAAATAAAATGGTGTTTTACATCCTGACATTCAACAGAGTTGTTGAACAACCACAAGTCTGAGAGGAGTGTGTGGGTGTAGTAATCCAAAATATTCTGACAAAGGTATTTTGTACAGGTTAGGACCTGTTACCAAAATGGGATTGTTTAATGTTCTCGTCAGAATCAAAAACAAGCCTTACACACATCCACCTTATTTCTCCACTGAATATAAATTACAGAGTTTGGACCCTTCTGTTCCTCAGTGGGTTTACAATTTTAGATTGTGCTCAATTGGTCTGTTCTGAATAGGCTTCTTCTGTTTCAATTCTGGCAAAAAACGGTGTGGTACCAGATAAGCCACATTCACAATCTTACCTCCACCATTTTCAAATCTTGATACTACTTTTTCAGTGCACATGAAACACATTCTGATCTCTGTTCCAAATTGTTTTATCGAACTTGAAATAGAACGAGGGGAACTTATCCATCCTACATTTCACTTACCACATTTTTATTCCCAGATATTTCCATTTCTGCTGTTGAATGATGATCCACATCTTGTGATTTTACTGAATTCTGTTCTTTTTCAGACGCCTTCTCCAAATCTACCTTATCAGACGAGACCTCCTGCTTATTACTGCCTTTATAATGACTAGTTTTAGGTTTCTCGTCTTCGAATAAAACGTTAAAAATGGACGGCTTCTTTTTCATATGAAATGCTACTTTTGAAGTTGCTGCCTTTTTCATAGTGTCTGCTGAATAATATCATTCATTCAATAATTATCAGAATAAATAAAATAAGTATGAGGACTGGTTTCTATCTATCTTGATTCATTCATTCCAAATTACGAATAATGAAAGAGGTCATGAGTTCCGAACATATGACAAATTAGTTATATTTTTCAAAAATTTTCTTTTCTTCCGCATTCTGAATCTCAACTTCGACAGTTTCACTCCCATTAAGTAAGTCTGCCCCCTATTTGTACCCCCAGTCTGGGAACTATTCATAACTAAGACATTTGATTACTATACCTGGTTTGTCTTCAATAGCTAATGGTTGTGATTCCAGTGGATCAGGAGTGGTGGTGGAGGTCTGCCCAGGAGTAAAATCAGAGACAGGAAAACTGAGAAAATTATACACAGAATATTTATCTCTTTTAACAGACGGTAGACCGGATATAGATGACCTGAAATATAGGAAATTTATTTGTAAAAAGAATGTAAAAAGGATTTTCTGAATCTTTTATGTATATCAGGGACACTGATAGCATTAATTGCACTGCACCATTCCCATTTTCGATCAGACGTCATTGGTTCCTGCAATTCCACTAAAAAAGTGTTGATGTCGTCACCAATTGCGAACGGCCTTATGTGACATCATCAAACACTAAGTAAGATTATCAGACATACCCTGGGTAAGGATCAGGAACATTAAATCTTTTACATAAAACTTTATCAGGATGCCATTCAAACGTCTCTCGTGTCAGCTGACCAAACATCTTCATTTCTACTGCCTTGGCTTTATCAGATTTATCAGCCTACAAAATACAATACAATAGGTGGAGCTGCTGCTGTGGCAAACATAATGCAAGGAGAATTACTGAAAGGATAATAAAGAGTTATCAGCCTGCAAACTATATAGGTAGTACTGTTGACATGTAATATATATGTATGGGTATGAGTAGCCGGAAGCTGAAAGAGACTGAGCCAACTGATAGAAGGAGCAAAATACAATACAATAGGTGGAGCTGCTCTGTGGCAACACGTAATGCAAGGAGCTTTTATAAAGAATTCCTGATTTGGTCATTATGAAGAGTTGTCTTATCTTTAATCAGTATAACATATAGGAATAGATTCCAGGTGACCTCAAATAAATTCCCCCATAATTCCAGGTTACTCAGATGTAAATGAGTATGGAGAGATCTAGGAGAGATCAATGCAAAGAAGTTTGGCAAAAGATCAACAGAATCATTGTAAATCAACATTTTTCTTGTAAAAAGGATTTCTTTCTTACCCCATCATCTATAGGAACATCAACTGTTTCTGTGTCATCACCATATTTAGCAGACGTGAAACGGGATGCCATCATTCCTGACAATGGCTTATAGAATTTACCGGCTTTTACAAACTCCTCCCTCTCTCGTTCTCGCTCCCATTCTGTCATACTCCCTCCAACAACTTCTAAATATGGGTCTGGAAAACAGAGAACAAGGTACGACAATCCAATCCAAATTTCAAAATCACAAACACGCTTTATACAAATCATAAAGGTGCTTTGGTTTTGTCTATAGCAATTTGGGCTAACAGTTGACCAAACACCAGTTAATTAAATAAATAAAAACACTATTATAGATATATTACTCCTTTATTTAATTTCTGCAACGTTTCAATTCACATACAGGAATCTTTTTCAAGTATAAAATAATAATTAAAGAAAGGAGCAGTATATCTATAATAGTGTTCTTATTTATCTAATGTTCTATCTACTTCTAAATCTCAATTAAAGATTACATCAAACATCAGTTATCAACTACTATAAAAACCAAAAAACAAATGTTCAGTAACATACTTTATGACATTTTTGCATTTTCTGAAAAAAAGCTTCTATATCCTTACCTTTTCTACCCTGTTGAACCAATGACAAGTATTTTTCATATCGAGCCTGTTTCTCAGGAAACTTAACGAATGGTTTAAATGATAAATTTCCCATGAACATTGGTTTATTTGAAGATGCCTTCATCTCGAACGGGGTTTTGAATACATTTTCTGGTGATTTTATCACATTGATTTCTGGACTGGTTACTGATGATGGATTAGAAGATGTTTTTCTTTCTTTCATATCCCATCGTGATGAAGTCTTTGTTGGTGGAGTTGTGGTTGATGATGAAGATTTTGATGGCGGTGCTTTATCAGGAGAAGGGGGTAGGGGAATGTCTTCAACGTTGGGAATCAGTAACATGGGATTTATTGAAATATCCATGGGTGTTAACTCTATTTTCAATTTTCCAGATTTTGCGTCATCCATTTTTTCCTTATCCTCTTTTGAGAGGAGATCAAATACAGAACCTAAAATTTGTAAAGGTGTAAAATTTGTTTTACTGATTTCAATTAATGAGCTGAGCTAATTCCAAAATTTGTCATTGTTATTATGAAACAGGTCCTAAATGACACACTTTTATTGGTTAAAAATTATGTCATTAGAACACTGATTTGGAGGAAAACTTGTTAGATTAGAATGCAGACTAAAAAAAAAGAAAAAAAAAAATTCAAAATGGTAATCTAAATTTAATTTGAGTGTATTCAATCGAACCTATAATGGGAGATTCTCCAAGTTGTAAAGCTCTATCAGTGGCAGTAAGACTCTTCTGTTTGTCTTCCTTCTTCCCAGCATCCCTTCCAGCATTAGCAATAGACTCTTCAACAACTGGACCTTTAAATCTATGGACTGGTTTAAAATGTCGAGGTAAGGTAGGTGGTGGAAAGACTTTATTTGGTTTCAATGTCTTTGTGGATAGAGTAAATCCCTCTAATAATTTACCTACATAACCAACATGGACTTTCCCTTGACCTGAAAAAAGAATTTAAAGAGATTGTAAAGAGGTTTTTTAAATTTGTGTGTTTTGGGGACACTGATATTATCAATTTACACCATTCCAATTTTCAATCAAACGTCTGTGGTTCCTGCAATTCCACTGAAACTAAACATTGGATGACGTCACTAATCGCAAAGGCCTTATGTGATATAAGTATATTTTGTGATTACTGTCGTCATCAAACACTTAGTTACATGTCAAATTTCAGATTGGATGGCCTGAAAGAATACATCTTTGACTATCTAATATCTTTTTTCTGATTTTTAGAAAGACCCTTTAACATACCTGCTTTAGGTCCTTTAGGAGCAGTCCATCCACTATACTGATTATCATCTTCAAAATCCATGGTCATATCATAATTAGAGAGATGATCTACAGCATAAATATCATCATCATCATCTTCCAAGGCACCAACACCAAATCCCTGTATAGAATAGAATAACAAACAAACATTAATAAACTGACAATTGGAACTAAAAAAAATGTCACAATGTTGGAATATTCAGATGTCAGAATTCACAGAACACACAAATGAAACAATCAGATTACAAAAACAAGTCCAAGTGATCTTCAGAGTGGATCTTACCTTGCCTCTAATTCCCCTTTTACCAGGTTTAGATTTGATAGGTGGAGCTTCAAACAGGTTGATATGGGCAGATGGAAGGGCTGCTGAGGGGTTCAGTCCTCGATATCCAATACCATGAATGTTATCCTTCGCCACAAACGAAACTGGATTCATATCCTTTGGAGCAAACGTTATATTTTTTAAATATTCTTCATTATCACTGTTACTCTAAAAAAAATTTTCCAAGTATCAAATAAATAAATTATTCAGAAAAACAGACATAAAATGAAATGAAATGGAGTATTATCTCCTACTTTTCTGCTCCAGTTCGGGCTAATGAAGACTGATAGTGTCACGCAGTGTTCAATGAGTGAAATTGGCCAGGAAAGCAGCATTAGCCTACTCTTTTGATTTCAAAATTGTTGCAGGATCTTAAACATGCACAGACTCTAGTACACAAAGCTTCTCTTATTTTCCTTTAAATGCTTAGTATTTTTATATCAGCCTCATTGATGTAAATAATTGACACAACTGTCTTGAAAAATTGTCTCCTATGTCAGGTTGGAAAGCATCTTACTTGCAGAGCTATCCTGGCTCCCAGATACAATTGAAAACAGAAAAGATTTGACCTTAGAATGCATAATGTCTTAAGAAATATCCTTCAGATTTTGAATTCTCCAAGCAAAAAGAGGCTGCCATATTGTCAATGTCATTAGAATGGGACTGATGTAGAAAACTTGTTAGATGACAATGGAGAAAAAAATATTGAGCCAATGTATTATTTTGGTTTATGTAACATACTTCGTCTGAGCTGGAATCTGGTTTCATTGCACAACCATACTGTTTCTCTACTGTAAAATAACAATGTATCCAAGGATGAATAGGGTTAAGGGAATCTGTTTCAGAAGCACATTAACATTACGGTTCAGTGAATTTAGGGTTGAAAAGCTAGGAATTGATAACGTTTGAAAAAAGTTTTTCTAGCTTCCAGTCAGATTTCTCGGTTCCTGTAAACATAGAAGTGGTTAACTGTTTATGATGTCGCTATCATTAAAGCTGCTAATAATATCTAGGAGCCTGCGTGATAATTTGATCACATAGAACACTTAGTCTTAGTAGAATCGAAAAACCAACAGGCATCTGACTGAATATTAGAAATGTGCACAAAAAGCTGTCAATTCCCTTATGCGCATAATAACCTCTAACAATCCCTTTAAGATATATAAATGTTTAGTTACATGCTTTCTTCTTTTTCTTCATTTTTCTAGACAACCTTGGTCCAACACCTTGTCCTTCCTTCCACCCCATTTTTCTCAATAATTTTATTCCAATTGGTAGCCTGTTTAAATGAATACAAATTTTTTTAATAAAAAAAAAAGATCAATGTTATTGTTCCGAAACATTAAAACTCTTATAGCTCTCAAGGGTTATTCCCCTTGATCTTGTATTTTCAAATTGCTGCCAGGCCCAGTTTGTAACAATTTGATTGGATTCTTTTCTAAATTGAGTACCTTCAAGAAAATGTAGTACGCCTTTAACCTATTTTAATTTCAAATTTCTAAAATTCTTACGTTTCTGGTATGATAAGGTCCATAAGAGTTGTGTCCCCTTCCTGTATAGAATCACCAGTAATGGAGGAAGCAAAAGTTTTCCGTTTACGTTGTCGTTCTTCTGATGTGAAAGAATCAGCTGTGGTTATTTTACGTGGCGCTATCCCATGTTCACTAAAATCCTGAAAAACACCAAATTTACAATAATACTTGACCCCCCTCTCTATTTTCTAGCTCATTAAGTATAATATATTCTAATCCTTATATATAGATGTTTATCTTTTCAGAACCTATTCATACTCTCTTCTTTTAGAACTGGTAACAAGAAAACTTTCATATTATAGACTTTTGTTTATTGTAGATTACTCGTGGGTGTTTTTTGAACTTAATACTAACTAGGCTAACTTCACCTTGTATTGAACATTTATCTCTTTATTTGTGACCTTGGCCAGTGCTTTACATAGAAGTTTTTAGGAACTTCTTCACTCTTAACACCAAATTTTGAAATTATATAAGCTTACAACATTCTACTACTCAAAATAAATAAAATCAAAAAATTTCAGTTAAACAAAACATGCACTTTTATTTTATAACAATTCTGTTTTTTAACAACGTGAACAGTGATGTATTTATCAAGTTAGGTTGGCATTTCTCTCAGTGAGTGACTGTTCAAAATGTTGTGTTCATGTGAATAATTCTAGTACAGAACACAGTGTACAAAAGTGACAAAACAAAGCCTGGGCCTTCAAATAAGTAAAACTAAAAAATTACGTTTGTATTTCTCTCAGTAAATGCATTTATGTGATTGATTTTTTTACAGTGTAAAGTGTACCGAAGTGACGTATCAAAGTCCAGACCTTCAGGTAAGTCAAACTTTCGGTCTTTGAGGAACTGTTCAAAGACTGTTCAGACTGTTTTGTAATAAAGTGTTTAGTACTGACCTCATCATCCATAAAATCTTCCACTGATTGACTGACATGTTCTGTTTTAGATTTCCGTGAAGAGACAAACGTTGATGGTGCCCATCCTGAAACAGATATTAAATTTTCTATTATTCATAAACATCAGGGATATAGTTAAATTCATCAATAAATAAAATTCTTAAAGTAGCCCTCATTTAGTGAATTATGGACTAGAAATTGGATATGAAAATAACAGTTGGTTATCAGAACCATTGCAGCTTAACACATTTCAAAAACGCTTTTAAAGGGATGAAGAGATTCTCTTTGCAATAGTGTTGTCATAAAACACTCTGTGGAATAGCACAAACCCCAGCTGACATTGGAATGGTGCAAATCTATGCTATCAGTGTCTCTGATACACATTAAAAGTTCAGGAAACCTCTATGAGCCAGGTTAAAATCCAATGCTCTAAACAGTAGAAGAAAATGAACATGATTCATATCCTGAAATACCTTTAACTCAGACATTTATATTCTTCAGATATAATCCAATTCAAATTTGAAAAGTTGATGTTTAAGTTTATGAGCCATTACCTTCCTTAGTACCAACAGAGTTAAAATAACCAGCTGAGAAACCACCAGTGAATGCTCCATGGAATCTCTGACGACCTTTATCATCTGTAACTGGCAGGTCTTTGACTGATACACGCTTCTTTCTTGCTTCATCTAAAAGCACAAGAACATAGATAAATTTAAGATAAAGTTGGTAATATATCTGTACTGGATCTGATTCAAACCACAAACATAACAATCATCTAGTTTTTTTTTTTTTTAGATTGTCTACGCAGTTATGAGTCAAGTCTGACCTATTTCAATGCTAGAAGTATGAAATCAAAACCTGAAGCATGTTGATCATGCTCTGTGGTCCTGTGACAACTATTTCAGCCAGTGTATCTACTGTACTGAATCAGAATTTTGCTCTGTGATTGATGCATTGCGAACTATTTTGATAAGAGAACATATTTTGTTATTGTAATTCTACAAAAATTGAATTTTCGTGTTTATGATTTAGACCAGGTTGAGCACAAATATCTTTGCTTGACAAGTACTTTGTTAATTCTGGACCACCCCCAGAAAATTACAGGACTATTCAAATTTGATTCTGAGAGCTATGATTAAATTTCTACTACCAATCACTTAATCTGCTATCACTAATCAGTTAATCTTGTTTACTCTGATTGAGTCAACATCAACAGAATTAGATTAACACCTTAGCTTATCACTGGTAGGAGATATCAAAGGGCACAGAAGCCGATCAAGAAAAAGGACGAGACGGGGGGTAAAAGTAAACATTGGACGTTTCTGAATTGCGCATGGATTTATTAAGAAAATAAGGGGGAACAGGACCATAAAGTTCTCTTAAACTGCAGCAAAATGTTACAATTAACTTTGTGAACAAGAAGAAAGGTCATGTCAAAGTACCATCTTCAAGTTGCTCGACTTGTTTGCCAATAACTATAAACGAATCTTCTTCGTCCGAATCCATGGACAGCGCCATTTTGTAGGACTGCAGAAAATTGCATAAAATGGAACGAAGATTAAAATTATTCTTTAGGTTCTTTTAAACACTTAGAATTTCGATTCATAACGACAGAAATCTATATATACAACTTCTATTTTCTACGAGTATCTTTAAAGGAAATGATCTTTAAATTTTGACCAATTGAAATTGAAACAATGCAACTTCTCGTTTCCAAATATACGGAAATGTCAGAGAGCGCATGCGCATTAAAGGTTATCAGCTTTGAGAAGCTGGAGAGATTATTTTTGTTTTGTGTTAATTAATTGATCGCAGCATCTTTGAGATGAGAAATATCGTTGTTTTGCATTTTTCAAAATGATGAAAAAGATAAGCCTTAAAGGCTTACGGCTTTCATCAGACAGGAGACATCGTGAAACATCGCCAAAAACATTATCAAATTCGGAAGTGGGTGAAGAGAGCAGTGAGGCATCCGAGCAGAATGACTCACCCGTTCGTTTTTCTCAACTGAGTAATGCAGACGATATCTCGGTGGTGAATGAGGATCCGAATAAAAGAAAGAAAGAAAAGATGGGTTTATTGAAAAATCTCAGACGTAAATTTACCCAATCAGTGCATAGGAAGAGTGAAGATGTGGAACCAAGCATGCCCAACCACATAGAAGAGTGTCCAACGCCTTCTCCCCAGCATCAAAATCAGGCTAATTCATTGACAATATCAGTGGAAACAAAGAAATCGCGTCCACGGAGTAAACATTTATTTGTGTTTTGTGACAAATCTGTGCAATCATGTCCAACTGGTGATGGCCTTAATACAAACTTACAATACATGTCGTCTTCTAAAATTAGTGAGATGCATTCCAATACAGACAATGTGGAACAAGATCCAAAGAAGGAGAAATCAAGTTGTAGGGGAAAGGATATCTCAAAATTTCACCCCGATGTCTCAAATAAACGTAGTAATACTAGTAACATTATAGAGGGACGCATTGTCAGCGTTTGTGAAAATGGTGCTCAAATTAGAATTGCTCGCGACAGTGCGTTTATCTCAAATGAAGTCTCAAATCGGACTGATATTTATGATAATATTGAAATAACGGCAGATAAACATGGCTTTATACGTCTAGACTATCCTTGTGTCGAACCGCAAGAGCCTTGGAGTTTAACTCAAGAACTTTTCAGACTTTCAAAATTCGGCTGGTACTGGGGTCCTATAACCCGGCACGAGGCCGAAGACAAGCTTTATAATCAAACTGATGGTGCTTTCTTAGTGCGGGACAGTTCAGACGAACGTTATTTATTGAGTTTAAGTTTTCGGTCAGAAGGTCAGACACTTCATACCAGAATCGAACATTGTAATGGTTTGTTTAGTTTTTATGCACAGCCTGACACAGAGGGGTACCCCTCCATCATAGATCTGATAGAACATTCAATGAATGACTCACAAACTGGAATATTCTGTTATTCACGTTCACGCTCCCCTGGTGCTCCTTCATTCCCCGTTAGATTGACAAAACCAGTTTCTCGGTTCACACAAGTGCGTTCTTTAAAATATTTATGTCGTTTTGTGATCAGGCAGTATACGCGATACGATCATATTCAACATTTACCACTGCCTACTAGTTTAAAGGGATGGATTGAAGAAAATCAGTATTATTGATATATTAAGCCGTTCAATATTTCAAATGTGGTGTTTGGCAATCGGGATCTGTTGTTGATCTGACTGTTTTTGCCCATCATGTCTGACAGAGTTCTGACATGTCTAGTTAATCAGTTCAATGCCAGTCTTATCTGACTGTGTGACAATCTAAGCAAACAGGATTAAGTTCATGGAAGCCAACATTAAGATATTCAGTATATCGAATTGGAGTTTTATTTCAACTCACATATGACCAAACAATGCAATCAAATACAGAGTCAGGTTATTTCTGGTAGAATACCAAGTCAAATTAATGAAAGCTTGACTGACCCAATTGCAGTCTTTGTGGAAGATCCAGTGCAAATTTGCTGCCATTAATGACGTTCAACTGTAATAAAGGAATTATTTGTGGTACCATTTCAAGAACTAGTAATTCCAACTCGACCTTGCAGTTAAATCCATAGCCACAGTACTGGCAACAATTATTTCTGCAATATTTGGACTATTTATTTGGTGGCATTAATGAGTTTTTTTACTTGTTGGGCATATAATTTTCTTCATCTTCTACTTCTAAAACCTCTGATATTTAGATTGACAAGTCTGAAGTTTGCTGGATTTGTTTTTGCCATTTTGATATTGATGCTCTAGCTTTTAAAAACTATTGGATGGAATTTCATGATGACTTTAGTACCAAAAGTACTGTAAAACATCTTAAAATAGTTCTGCTAACCTTTCTGAATCTAGCTAGTCTACATCTTTCCAAATTATATGTAAGAGGCTGGAATAGACTCAATAGAGTTTGGAATTGATTAACTTACAGTGTATGAAATGATGAATGATGATTTAATTTAAATTTGAAAAAAAATGGCATATTTCAAGAGATCCTTCCTTATTCAACTTACAATGTTTGTAACTATTGTTGGTCCGTCCCAAATATTCTTGAGTAAGATAAATAGATCATCAACTCTATAACATAATTTATGTTCTTGGAAATTCAAATTCTCTTGAAAATTAAAAAAAAATTGGTTTAAGTATCGTTTACTTATTTGTTTGCAGATTTAAGTATTTGAATTATGATTCAGCTTATAACAATAAGAGTTAATAAGCAGTTGATAGTGTTTCAGTAATTTAATTTGCTCTTAAAGAGATTGTAAAGATGTTGTCTAAACTTTGTATGTGTATCTGGGACACTGATAGCATGTATTTCCACCATTCCATTTTTCAATCAGACATCTGTGGTTCCTGCTATTCCATAAAGGTAAGCGTTTGATGATGTCACTATCACAAAATCTGCTTTAATATATAAGGCTCTTCGCGATAGACAAGTCATAAAATGAAATGAACCACAAACGTCTGATTTGAAATTGAAATCGTGCAAATCAATGCTAACAATGTCCCCTGTACACTTAAAAAGTTTTTAAAAACCATTTACAATCCCTTTAAGAGAGTCTTCTAAGGTTATATTTACCATTACAGCTTACTGTACAATTTTGTTTGAAAATCATTATCTTTATTGCTGCATCGATTTTCAGCTGTAGATGGGGCACTTGAGGGTTATCAACTTTTTAAAGTTCTTTTGGCATTACTGATACCCTATACCTTACGAATATTTATTGTGAGGCTTTCCTCATCTTTTAGTCTGTTTTATATTTTGTGATCCAAAGAGGCACATTTTAAGATTGTTTTCTGTACAGATCTGTTCTGTTTTGGGGGTCTTTGTTTATTTAACATTGTTTTATTTATCAAATTAGTTTCTCTCTCCTGGAGTCAAATATGAATGATTTAGGACAATATCCTTAAAAAATCCTATAAAGGGATTGTAAATATGTTTCCTAAATTTTCTCTGTGTATCAGGGACACAGATATTCATAAAACCCTTAGTTTTAGTAAAATTGCCTGAACCAGATGGCGGAAAATTGAGTAGTGCTATGAGTGTCCTATCTACACATAAGAAGTTCAGAAAACCTTTTTACAATCCCTTTAATTAGATGAAATAAAGATTTAAGGAAAATAGTAATCTGACAAGAAACTATGTTACTGCGGAAAAGAGGCATGCTATTTTGCTCCCAAAGAAACCAGCAGTCAAAAAAAAATAAATCCAACACTTCAGGAAATTTACGGGAGAGAAATCATTTTGGATAAACTAACTGAAGATGTTTCACAAGATGAGGAGTGAATTCATCAGAAACCTAGTGAATTTTTATCAAAGCATGTTACTGAAAGTGAACTCAACTTGTGTTTTTTTCAAATCAGAGCATGTTTTTTGGCCTTATTTGAAGCCTTCCCACTGCCATTATTTCTAATTGTATATAATATATATATTTGTGTGTATATATTGAATTTGATGTTAAATTGGTCAGATAATTTAATCAACTAGCCAACCTGTTAATATAGCACTGTATTTAGGTGTCTGTTTTAATACACCCATACATCGTATCCTGAATATGCGTTTTGACATGGTCTTATTGGAGGAAACATGATAAATGGGGGCGTGGTTTGGACACGATGACACCACACTGTTTTATGATACTGAGCTCATATCATGATATTGACTCATATTGGGAAGGACAAGTATAGGTTCATTTTAGGTAAATTTTTCATGGTTGAGAAGTGGGCAGAGCTATTGCTAACTGTCAGTCAAAGGTTGAATTATAATTCCTGGCTTCGTAACATTTTGGACAGGTCATATAAATCGATTTTAATTTACTTTTATAAACTAATCAAAATTGCTGTTTTTGCTGAAAAAATATTATTCAAAGTAATGTACATTTTTTTTAAAATTTGACCGCAGGTTTTTTGAACAAGACTTAAATATTTGTCAGGTTGGCAGTTGATAAAATTATCTCCCCAATATCCAATGGTTTTTAGCTGTAGACAACTGTGTGAATGACTCCAGACTTTGAAAGCCATTAAAGTTTTTTAAAAACTACTTCTCTTTTTCATCTCTCTATATTGTCGGCACCCCGATCCGTTTGTCCGTCAACATTTGCTTGTAAACGCTCTAAAAACTAGATATTTTGATGGAATCAAATGAAATTCGGTATGTGTATACATATTCATAAAACGAAGATCAAGTTCGAATTTGAGCTATTTTCGACTGTTGGAAGCAGAGTTATTGTCCTTGCCCCAAAATCTTGAATATGCTATTACTCTCTTAGTTTTCAACCGATTTTGATGAAACTTAAAATGGATGTTATTGGACCTGAATCGAAAGGTTTGAGAAAGTTTAGTTTAATTCTGATTAAATTTAAGGCTTTTTCAAGATTTAGGCCTCTTACGTCAGTCTTGAGCAGTTATTACCCTTTAACCTCTATACAGCAAGTGCTTCTATCAACATCAATTGCTCGTAAACACTCTAAAAACTAGAGTGTTTGAAGGAATGAAATGAAATTCGGCATGTGCATACATATACATGAAACGAAGATTTAATTTGAGCTATTTTCGACCGTTAGAAGCAGAGTTATTGCCCTTGCCCCAAAATCTTGAATATGCTATTACTCTCTTAGTTTTCAGCCAATTTTGATGTTTCGTTTTTACCATCCGCATGCCGTGGTGGGCGTATATGGCTGTGGTCCACTATCTTTCCCTTTCCCCTCAAAAATCTCGCTAAGGCCACAGTAACCAGTCATTCAGCCCCCCCACCCCCTCTTTCCCTTTCTCCTCAAATATCCAGCTAGGGCCACAATGACCTGTAATTCACCCACTGGGCTAACAGACTATAAAATATGCTAATTGACAGTAATAGCTATAAATATTCATACCATAATCATAACAAACTCTTATTCATAGTTTTGACCTTTATTATGCAGGGTCAGTCAGTTATACAGTCACCTATAGCCAACATCAGGATTGTGGTTCTCTTTTGTCAGCCAGTCATGTCTGAATGTTGTACCGAAATGATAGTTTTGACCTTTATTATGCAGGGTCAGTCAGTTATACAGCCACCTATAGCCAACATCAGGAATATGGTTCTTTTTTGTCAGCCAGTCATGTCTGAATGTTGTACCGAAATGATAGTTTTGACCTTTATTATGCAGGGTCAGTCAGTTATACAGTCACCTATAGCCAACATCAGGATTGTGGTTCTCTTTTGTCAGCCAGTCATGTCTGAATGTTGTACCGAAATGATAGTTTTGACCTTTATTATGCAGGGTCAGCCAGTTATAAAGACACTTAAAGCATGTTAACGGATGTTGATTTGACTCTATGTCATGGGGTACAAATTTAAAATTTGATATAGCTTCAAGGATTATAAGCTAGGCTCTTTCTCAAAATAGTTCTTTGGTTTGTGGGATATGTCCATTGCTGTTTCACTTTTTGGCTTAAAGAGATAGGTGACTGATTAGCTTAGCTAAAAAATTTCTGTTTCTGAGACTTAAGTATGATTGGTCAAACACATGGCAAACCTGTCCCTTGAAATCGAAGTGGCTTGGAAATTGAAAAACTAGATATAGTTTTAATATAATGATATAATCATTCATGTTTACAACATAAAACTTCACTCAGAACTGAGTTATGTAGAAAATAACAAAAACTGGTCAATAATTTTTACATAAATTCAAAATAATTTCAAAATGCATTAGTTATTTTAAATACATTTGATATTTGATGCATGTGTAGCACTAGCTTGAACAAACTTGGTCCTGACTATTAACCAACTATAATCACATGTATTACATCAGGGCTTTTTAATCTGTTTTCTTTCTATTACAACTTTCAGAATCCTTGATAAACTAAGACACCTGATAGCAAGATTTGGCAAGGCATAGTCTCTTTAGACAACTAGGAACTCCAATGACGTTTTTATAGTATACCAAATGACAATAGTTCGAAAATGTTCCTTCGGTGCGAAGCCTTATAAGGAACGACGGACCAGTTTAGATCATTGATGGATTGAATACCATTGGTACATTGGATTTATATGATTAAATTTGTTGCACTAAGCTTAGCTTTCATAAAAATTGAACCGGTGTTTAAAGCTGTATTAATTGGTGTCTACTTGAACCGTTATGACTAACAGACTGAAAACATGGTTATAAAGTTCTAGATAATGTATTTATACAAGAGAGTAGAAACACATTGTTATCATTTCTTTCAGCTACACAGTTCTTACAAGAGTTATTCCCCTTAGATCACCGTCTTCTAGAATTAATTCCCAGCATGTTCCTAGTCTGAAATTCAAAGAACAGACAGAATCTTATAAAAATACAACCCAAGCTATCAGTTTGAAAACAATTTAAAAGATATTAAATGGGTCTAGTAGCCATCTTGGTTCATTCGTGGTTTCCACTTAAGAAGGTGTTAAATTTCAAAACTGAAATGAAATGAATGAAGTTCTATCAGCCAGTCTGACCTGCATTACTGACAAGGGGAGATCGGGTAAATTCTAAAAATGAAACAGTTAAATACATACCATAATACAGGCTCCCCATATACCTTCTGACATGGCAGCACCAAATTGCTGAACCTAAAACATAGTAATGTACTGAGAATTGTATCCTTAAAGGGATTGTAAGAGAAGTTTCTAAACTTTTTATGTGTTTCGGGGGACAGATAGCATCAACTTTCACCATTACAATTTTCAATCAGATGTATGTGGTTCCTGCAATTCCACTATAACTAAATCTTTGATGACGTCAGTAATAGCAAAATATGCTTTATCACATATGGCCCTTCGCAATTGCTGAGTTTCCAGCGTTTAAAATACATTTAATTAAAAAACAGGCAAGAAAAATTCTGATTCCTGTGCCAGTGTTTCCGAGAGTTGGCCCAGTGTCAGCTTCCACCGCCTAATGCCTTGAAATTTCTGTTCATTTACTTACATTTCTAGCGCGAGAACTAAACCCTGTTAAATCGTCCAGTCTCCGGTCTAAAAACTGCCAGGTCTGCATTTGATCATCTGAGTTGTCTTGTATCATATATATCTCTGTACTTTTATAGACAGTGGCCAAACTGGCTCTTTTAGTATACCAGTTAAACTAACAATAGAAATAACAATGTATATAGCAATTATACCAGATATATATATATCAAAAGAACTTAAGATGATTTTAGATTTACAGTCATTTGATTGGTCAATCACTAAAATCGATTATAGATTTAGTTTTATTATCCAGTCAGATTACTGTATTTCTTTATTCTGGGTTCAGTTTCATAAAATCTAAAATCTAAACTTCATTATTTAAGTGTTCCTGTCATTTGATTGGTCAATCACTAAAATCGATTATAGATTTAGTTTTATTATTCAATCAGATTACTGTATTTCTTTATTCTGGGTTCAGTTTCATAAAATCTAAAATCTAAACTTCATTATTTAAGTGTTCCTGTCATTTGATTGGTCAATCACTAAAATCATACATGTGTACAGGTCAGGAAAGAACATCTGGAGATTGGTAAAATCGATTATAATTTTAGTTTTATTGTCCAATCTAATTACTGTATTTCTTTAATTGAAATCTTCGTTGAAATTTTGTGAAAAAGCATAGGCATCCCAACCCTTCAAAATTTCAGGCAAACCAACGTGCTTCCCCAACAGGCCTTAAAGTCTGTACAAGTATGTTATATGTAAAACAGGCCTCCAAGCCACAATACCTAAACATGCATAGATACTGCAATTACCTAGGCCACTATGCTCACCATGCTCCTATAGGAAATACAAATGATTGACAACTTACATCTGTGGATCTATCACCAGCATAGAACCAAATATCATCCATTAGTTTTGATAAATTCTCCCAAGATTCCACAGCATTAGGGGGTAAGGTCTGAAGAGCCATAGCCTAGAAATAGAATAATTTCATACAAAATTTAAACATAATGAATGGAATACAGTTCGATGTCCTGGTTTTCAGCACCTATTATGGGCAATGTATTACAGTGAGCAATGCATGGTAGTTTGCCAGGACAAGTAAAATCATTAAAATTGGAATCAAAGGAGTCATATCATTAAATTACACATTTCCTAATTGGATGGAATAACAAAACTAGATTTATAAAGCACACTAATCAGCACATGTTAAAGGCGGGGCTAAATCTGTCAATCATACAGTTGGTTTTATGCAACACACAAAATATAATTCTACTGATTTTATGGTTGTTATAGAGAATTCTTTGATTTTGGCTGATTTGTTTGATCAGGCATGCATTGATCTGGTTTGACCATTGTAGTAGTACTATACAACTTTAATTGATTTGTCATAATTTAGACGAGATTTTGATTGAAGGAATTGTCTTGCTGGTATGGATTTTTATTATCTCACCTGCGGCCATTTTTCTTTATACGGTAAAATCATTCTCAGCCTGGTTTCTACGGCATCTCGTATAAATGGTCTGGTCTTTATTCTTAAAACAGACAAAAAAAACAAAAAATGTTACCTTAAAATGTAAGGATCAATCTTGTCTGGATAAGATTCAATGGTTTAAATATTTGCTTTACCAGGGGGTGATAAAGCTACATTACATTCTTAGGCGTATAGGCCTAACGTCTGTTTGGGGGGGGGACTGGCTAGTTTGCACAGAAGGGTTTTGAGATGACGGGCAAAGCACAACTATGAGCACAGAAAGCGCAAGTCTGCAAAAACATTACTTGTCTGCCCACGTTTTTTTTGGTCACTGCCCGAAAAGATAATATTTTGGGGGCAGCTGGCTGTAATATTTCCTTTCAATTAAGAAAAACTTTGATGTCACAGGATTTTTAAAATCAATCTGATGAAACTTAATTCTTCTACCCTCACAAATGCTTTAAAGTACAAGAATAGACAACTTACTTCACTCCCTCTGCCTGTGTTTTCGAGACCTGTTCAGCCAACTGATCTGCTAACTGTTGATTACTGTTGGTATAAAAATAATGGACTAATTTCCACCCCACCCTTNA